CGGACAATGAAACATAGATGGTGGGTTCATAGATTCCTGCTGAATTGGACCAAATATGTAGTCTACAATGGTATTTGGACCTAGACACATGCCTATACTTAAAGGTAACACTGCCAGAACTGTTATTAAAGAGTCAGTAGGATGCTCTAATACAGTAAATAATTCCAGTATTAGAGAAAAAATTTATCAATAAAACAAAATTAACCTGGAGGAACGAAAATACTGCACTATGTACACAGTATAATTATTGAAACATTGAAATAAACGCTCCTTTTTGCTTTTATCCTCTTCACCACTGATCGGCTCGTTAGCCGCTTGGGCGATCGGTCATGTTGCAGTGGATTCCTCCCCTACAAGCACCGAACCTTCTCGAATTCCCCAGCCTACGCCTCCAGCGCCGCCCATGGTGTGGGGGTCAACTATCTACCCACGCCTACCCCTGCCTTATAAGGCCTGACACCGCTGTGACCAGCCTCTTTTCTACCCAGTGCCACCAGCAAGCAACACCTCCTCTGCGCTAGCCGTGCGGCCGCCGCTCCTGCCAACGACCTTGGCGTCCCTCAAGCCGTGTGCCCTCACTCTGGGCACCCTCACCACCCAGCTCTCTCTACTCAACGCTTATTACCATGCTACCTACCCAGCAACAAGCTACATTGTACATCCAATACAACATGTATACAGTGAGCACATTGTGAGTTTCTTTTCTCCATCCCATCCTGAGTGTGAACCAATATCTCATACCCCCACAAATGGTCACCCCTGGAGATTCGCACTCACACAGGATGGAGGAGAAACCGATCACTCTCCCAGTCTTCAAGCAACATGGAAGACTGGCTTATCCACACACAGGCAGCTCTCATCGGCTCTACAGCTACTGTCTCTACACCGCAGGTTAGACACCCTAGAGCAGCTCTGCTACTCTAAACAGACAGCCGCTCCTCTTCCTGCCCCAAGCACCACGTCCTACCGACCCCAACACACCCGTCCTGCCTCAGACGCCGCCCCCGGCCCAGCAGTACCCCCTACCGCTCCTACTGACGCGGCCCCTGCTCCTGACACGGACCCACACACCCCTCTTTTCTCCCTCAGGTACCCCCTGCTACTGTCCTGCACCCTGCTGCTGTCGTGGGCCCTGCTGCTGTCATGCACCCTGCTGCTGTCGTGGGCCCTGCTGCTGTCATGCACCCTGCTGCTGTCGTGGACCCTGCTGCTGTCATGCACCCTGCTGCTGTCATGGACACCCTTCCTAACGCAGCCCCTGCTCCTGACCCAGGCCCACACACCCCAGCAGGCGCATCTGAGGACTCTGTACCTGTCGCGAGTGAAGCACAACATTCATCGCCTCCACAACCCTCCTTCTCCCTCTTTTCTACCACAGATCTCGTGTATCTAGACAGAGTTGCCCCCCCTAGCGGCCGGCTCATCCACGCCCTCGCTGTTCTGCCTCACATGTGGCACGCACCGCCCGTTCTGCCTCACATGTGGCACGCACCGCCCGTTCTGCCTCACATGTGGCACGCACCGCCCGTTCTGCCTCACATGTGGCACCAACTCTGCCAACCTCCAGCCTCCCGCCGCGCCCGGAGGGGAAGGGGAGTATTGTAGTGGATTCCTCCCCAACAAGCACCGAACCTTCTCGAATTCCCCAGCCTAAGCTCCGTGGGGTCAACTATCTACCCACGCCTAACCCCGTCTTATAAGGCCTGACACCGCTGTGACCAGTCTCTTTTCTACCCAGTGCCACCAGCAAGCAACACCTCCTCTGCGCTAGCCGTGCGGCCGCCGCTCCCGCGTGACCTCACTCTGGGCACCCTCACCACCCAGCTCTCTCTACTTAACGCTTATTACCATGCTACCTACCCAGCAACAAGCTACATTGTACATCCAATACAACATGTATACAGTGAGCACATTGTGAGTTTCTTTTCTCCATCCCATCCTGAGTGTGAACCAATATCTCATACCCCCACAAATGGTCACCCCTGGAGATTCGCACTCACACAGGATGGAGGAGAAACCGATCACTCTCCCAGTCTTCAAGCAACATGGAAGACTGGCTTATCCACACACAGGCAGCTCTCATCGGCTCTACAGCTACTGTCTCTACACCGCAGGTTAGACACCCTAGAGCAGCTCTGCTACTCTAAACAGACAGCCGCTCCTCTTCCTGCCCCAAGCACCACGTCCTACCGACCCCAACACACCCGTCCTGCCTCAGACGCCGCCCCCGGCCCAGCAGTACCCCCTACCGCTCCTACTGACGCGGCCCCTGCTCCTGACACGGACCCACACACCCCTCTTTTCTCCCTCAGGTACCCCCTGCTACTGTCCTGCACCCTGCTGCTGTCGTGGGCCCTGCTGCTGTCATGCACCCTGCTGCTGTCGTGGGCCCTGCTGCTGTCATGCACCCTGCTGCTGTCGTGGACCCTGCTGCTGTCATGGACACCCTTCCTAACGCAGCCCCTGCTCCTGACCCAGGCCCACACACCCCAGCAGGCGCATCTGAGGACTCTGTACCTGTCGCGAGTGAAGCACAACATTCATCGCCTCCACAACCCTCCTTCTCCCTCTTTTCTACCACAGATCTCGTGTATCTAGACAGAGTTGCCCCCCCTAGCGGCCGGCTCATCCACGCCCTCGCTGTTCTGCCTCACATGTGGCACGCACCGCCCGTTCTGCCTCACATGTGGCACGCACCGCCCGTTCTGCCTCACATGTGGCACGCACCGCCCGTTCTGCCTCACATGTGGCACCAACTCTGCCAACCTCCAGCCTCCCGCCGCGCCCGGAGGGGAAGGGGAGTATTGTAGTGGATTCCTCCCCAACAAGCACCGAACCTTCTCGAATTCCCCAGCCTAAGCTCCGTGGGGTCAACTATCTACCCACGCCTAACCCCGTCTTATAAGGCCTGACACCGCTGTGACCAGTCTCTTTTCTACCCAGTGCCACCAGCAAGCAACACCTCCTCTGCGCTAGCCGTGCGGCCGCCGCTCCCGCGTGACCTCACTCTGGGCACCCTCACCACCCAGCTCTCTCTACTTAACGCTTATTACCATGCTACCTACCCAGCAACAAGCTACATTGTACATCCAATACAACATGTATACAGTGAGCACATTGTGAGTTTCTTTTCTCCATCCCATCCTGAGTGTGAACCAATATCTCATACCCCCACAAATGGTCACCCCTGGAGATTCGCACTCACACAGGATGGAGGAGAAACCGATCACTCTCCCAGTCTTCAAGCAACATGGAAGACTGGCTTATCCACACACAGGCAGCTCTCATCGGCTCTACAGCTACTGTCTCTACACCGCAGGTTAGACACCCTAGAGCAGCTCTGCTACTCTAAACAGACAGCCGCTCCTCTTCCTGCCCCAAGCACCACGTCCTACCGACCCCAACACACCCGTCCTGCCTCAGACGCCGCCCCCGGCCCAGCAGTACCCCCTACCGCTCCTACTGACGCGGCCCCTGCTCCTGACACGGACCCACACACCCCTCTTTTCTCCCTCAGGTACCCCCTGCTACTGTCCTGCACCCTGCTGCTGTCGTGGGCCCTGCTGCTGTCATGCACCCTGCTGCTGTCGTGGGCCCTGCTGCTGTCATGCACCCTGCTGCTGTCGTGGACCCTGCTGCTGTCATGCACCCTGCTGCTGTCATGGACACCCTTCCTAACGCAGCCCCTGCTCCTGACCCAGGCCCACACACCCCAGCAGGCGCATCTGAGGACTCTGTACCTGTCGCGAGTGAAGCACAACATTCATCGCCTCCACAACCCTCCTTCTCCCTCTTTTCTACCACAGATCTCGTGTATCTAGACAGAGTTGCCCCCCCTAGCGGCCGGCTCATCCACGCCCTCGCTGTTCTGCCTCACATGTGGCACGCACCGCCCGTTCTGCCTCACATGTGGCACGCACCGCCCGTTCTGCCTCACATGTGGCACGCACCGCCCGTTCTGCCTCACATGTGGCACCAACTCTGCCAACCTCCAGCCTCCCGCCGCGCCCGGAGGGGAAGGGGAGTATTGTAGTGGATTCCTCCCCAACAAGCACCGAACCTTCTCGAATTCCCCAGCCTAAGCTCCGTGGGGTCAACTATCTACCCACGCCTAACCCCGTCTTATAAGGCCTGACACCGCTGTGACCAGTCTCTTTTCTACCCAGTGCCACCAGCAAGCAACACCTCCTCTGCGCTAGCCGTGCGGCCGCCGCTCCCGCGTGACCTCACTCTGGGCACCCTCACCACCCAGCTCTCTCTACTTAACGCTTATTACCATGCTACCTACCCAGCAACAAGCTACATTGTACATCTAATACAACATGTATACAGTGAGCACATGTGAGTTTCTTTTCTCCATCCCATCCTGAGTGTGAACCAATATCTCATACCCCCACAACGTCTCTCATTACTCTTCCTTTTCTTTTATCCTCTTCACCAAAAGATCGGCTCGTTAGCCGCTTGGGCGATCGGTCATGAGAAAAAAGATATTCATAAAATACTACAATACTGTTTAATAGAAGAGAAAAAAAATAATTATAAAATACTGCCAAGCTGTAAAAACAAAGACCCAACTTTATTCAAACCGGCAAATTATAATCATCATAATTCCCCCGAGAAGGAACTTTTAGGTTCTCCCATCACCTAGAAACGTGTCGATACAATACCGATGATATTGTTCACCTATTTCTACTCTGGCTTTTCCTAGTCAACAGAGGTGGTAGGACGATTATTATGTTTCAATAAACGCCCGTCCACTATTACCTCTCCCTCCCATGAAATTTTTGTGTAGGCCTATCCATTCCTGAAATTTATTACAAATAGTAATTGTCTAATATTTTCATTCCAGTTATTTGAAAACCACAGGGTGGTGGGCAAAGGAGTTTATGTATTTATCTCTGTTAACCAAATTCTGAGTAAGGTCTTGTGTCGAGGTAATTAGAATGTTTATATTGGCTGAGTATTTAAAAATGGCGGGGCCGGGTTGGGCGAGACGTTCCCAGGCGGCAGCACAGTGAGCGGTGCCGGGGTGAGGTGAGGGAGGAGCAAGTTACTGTTCTTCGGGATGTGTCCTCACCTGCTGTGACCTGGAGTTAGCGTGTTAATGTGAGGCGGGCACAATGGGTACAACCCAGAGCACCAGGAAAATCACATTGGTCAATGATGACAAGGCCGGTGTCATCAAGGTTAGTAGTCCTATCTCATGCAACGGCTGTTTCCATATCAGTCCCGGAGTACGTGAATGGGGTGTTAATTTGCTGGAAAAAAGTTGGATTGTGGATGATCTCATAATGTTATACAAAAACTGGTTGTATTTTATCCTAATTTATTATTCTTTGCACATTGTGATGTATTAAGTAGAGGTCAGCTTTTATTTGTGGGCACCGGCCGAGCACCAACACAAACATTGACTCTTTTTATCTTGGTCATTTGGTAATTATTTATATAATTTTATATAATCATTTGTAAAATGCCAGCTGTAGCAGAGGCTTCCTGAATATAATTTAGGACTTGGCTATTACATAATGGAGTCACCAAACCTTGTGTGTATTTTTTGTTTGGTTGAATGATTGATAAATATTGAGAACAGTGGCACCACAAGTGTCGTTTTTTTGCTGTATCCTCTTCGCTACAAATCTGCCTGTTAGCCCCTGAGGTGATCGGTCGTACCTCCTGTGAATTAATAGTCTTGCACCAGTCTTTCTTTCGCTGTTGTTAATATGCATTTTGTAATATTTAGACACTTCTAAGACCTTTTCTTCTATGATATTTCCACCGGAAATTAAGGATAACCGAGATAACAATTTTTCAATATTATTACATTCTCTGTCACAAGTGTCGCCAAGTCTTGTTTACTTTTGGAGGAGCCTGACACCCCTCACGCATCGCTCCTTACCTCCGTCTTCGCTTCTTGAGCGTCTACAGCGCATGTGCATTGATGACCCAGATGAACCTAATTATTTTTCAGATTAAGGTAAGATGTGGGGGCATGAACAAAGGGGGGTTCAGGGCCCCCCTGGTTAGGTTAGATAGTTTTGGTTTGGTTTGTTGGTATTTTAGTAAGTTCTTTCTGTTTAATATACTGGGGAAGTGAGGTAAGGTTAGGTAGGTTTGTTTGGTTAGGTTGGTTAGGTCTGTTCTTCATACCCACAAATGTTAAGTAACGTTTATTTTAAAAATATCCAATTTTTAACATACAGTATTTCCACAAACGACACCAGTGTCCACTATAATATAACAATGAAAATCTGGGGTTTTTATAATTGTTTTCAATAAATTTCGCTCGGGGGTTAGTCCTATATAATTATTGAAAAAATTAACTTTTTCCCGTTATGATTGGTGGGGGGGGTCTTAAAACCTAGTTATTTCCGACGGAAATGATTGATTATCAAATTCGTTAGAAACTCATCAGATTCCTTAGGAAAAACTTATTTTTCATATCAAAATAAAGACCAATGCAATACTACCTACTCCGCCAAAAGTAAACAAGACATGGCGAAACTTGTGACTGAGAAAATGTAATATTATTGAAATTTTTTTATCTCGGTTATCCTTAATTTCCTGTGGAAATATCATAGAAGAAAAATGTCTTAGAATTGTCTAAATATTACGAATTACATATTAATAAAAGCGAAAGAAAGACTGGTGCAAGACTATTTTGCCAAATTCTAAAATAGACATGCTAGGCCTCACCATTTCCCCTAATGTGTCATGTAAGCCACACATCCTCAACATTGCTGAAGCTGCCTCCTAAAAGCTGGGAATGCTGTACAGATGCTGTAGCTACTTCACTCCTCCGCAGTTGCTTCAAGTATATAAGGGATTCATTTGTTCTAACTTGGTGTACTGCTCTCATATCTAGGGTGGCTCTTCTGTCCAACTGTTAGATAGGGTGAAATCAAAGGCATTTTGTCTTATTAACACTCTTCCTTTAGTTGATAATCTCTCTTCTCTTTCTCTTTGCCACAATGTTGCTTCACTCTTTCTTTTACAGGTAATTTAATGGGCAATGTTCGGTGGGTTTGGCAGCCTGTGTTCCGCCGATAAGGCCGTGGGCTTGCAACACTCATCTTGCCCGTGGTGCCCACCTTTTCTCTGTGGATGTCGATCACACTAGAATAACCAGTTATAGTACATCCTTCATTCCTCACACAGCCAAACTGTGGAATGCTCTGCCTTTTTCTGTTTCCATACTCATACAATCTGTCTCACTTCAAAAAAGTTGGTTTTCCGTCAACTTTGTGGTGTAGTTGAATATAATATTTTTCTCTTCTATTTTTTTTAAACTTTTTACTCATAATTTTTTGCCCCCTAGGCCCCATTGTGGGTTGATGACTTGTGCCTGGGAGGGCTATTCCCCATTAAAAATGCAATGTTAGCAAATACTGGGCATGCATAGGCCAACCAGGTAAAAAAAAAATTTGGGTATAATTTAACACCTACCAGAAAGGGGGGGGGGGTCCCCCTGGTTAGGTTAGATATAGTTCCTGACCTAACCTAACCTAACCTAACCTATCTGCCACTCGCCTATCGGGGTCGATTCCTACCTAAAAAAGCATCCTGGTGATAATGGTAAAAAATCTTAAATACTTTGCACTGGTCCAGGGACCCAAAGATTTTTTTATGAATTTGTTGACAAAATTCTCTCTGCGTGGTTGTTTGTTGAGCTTCAGTCTGTTGTTTATGTGATCAGGAGGAGGAATGCAAACATTAATGCTCCTATTTCATGTTCACTAAAAGCTGCAGCAGCTTTAGAAAATTTGGTAAAGGTGGAGCAGACGGTTAGTACCCAAATACATTTATATATTTCTTTCATATTTTGCACAGTTGCTCTTTGGATGATACTGAGTATTAATATCAAACAGAGAACATTGTAGAATTTGTTTTTCTTTTCCTTACTGATTTTTTAGCCTATCCCTTGATCATAAATTACTTGTTAGTGGGCAGGCCATGAAAGGAGAGAAAAATAATGAGGTTAAAACACAGTGAACACAGATCAAATGGCAGTTATTTCATGTCTATGCATGCTTTGTAGGTGAAGAAATAAATTACTTAACATAATTATGGTGCTGTCAGATTTTTCATGGCGAGCATGATTTGGTTCACATCGTCTGCTATATGGGAGCGTGAGTGGTCATTGCTTACATGTCAAGAAATGAACGACGATCTCATCGGTCATGCCATATTTATTATGATTTGTAGTGGGTTGAATTCATAATTTTTTTCTTTTAGATGTTGTTTGAGTGGTTATTAAGAAAATCAAAATGATAATGCACAGGTTAGGAAGTTAGTTAGGTTCTAATAGGTTCTGTGCACTTGTCTAGACAATGATGATAAGTTATTCTTTCTTGCATTACGAATAGTAATATTTGACAAAATAATTCACAGATACATTTCAGTACTCTGTATTAGCATATGAATCAGACACGAAAAACTAAAACTTTTTAATGCAGTTTTTCATGCTGAATACTGCACAGTGGTGATATTGAATGTTTGGGGAATGCATAATTATTAAGTAATGAAATTTCCGACTGGCAGTGTTGACCCCATCAAAATGGGAAGTGTTTCAAAGCAGAGGGAAAATGTGGGGGTTAAAAACATAACTAAAAGAACCTAGTCATTGTACAGTACAGGGTACTTACTTAATGTGGAGGAAACCTGATTTTCCTAAGAAATAACAATTGCCACCTTAATCAGCATAAAAAAAAAACTACTAGAAAATTACCGTCCTAGTTATAAGCTTGAAAGCCAGTGTTTATTGAACATCGTAATTGCCAAAAAATGACAAATCATAGGATTTGCAGTTTTCATAATAATTATAATTTGGCAGTACATGAATGTAGTGGCCTCCCAATACCACCAGTGTCATTATCCTTTCCATACACATGAACACTTCCAATGAATGTTTTTATTATATAAGATTTGTTGTAGATAAGATAAATCCACAAGACCTACTATCCACGGATGGATGATGATTATTTAGGTTAGGTTAGGTAGATTGTGGTACCGTACAGTAGTTATGGTTGGGTAGGTTTGTATAGACTTGTTTACCTGTAATTTTGTACCTGAGGTGTGAGCACTACTCTAAGGTTAGGCAGCCAGAGGACTGTAGATCTGTCCATGTTTGAGGTAAATGCACAGCAAATCTTCCTGTAGACCAGTTGGTTACTGACAACTGTACTGTATTAATCTCTCTCTCTCTCTCTCTCTCTCTGTGTGTGTGTGTGTGTGTGTTTTTTTTTTTATCACTGGGTACGTCTGCTATGTGCTAAAAATTTGCTCTTTGAATTTTAAAATATACTTTATGTAATTGTTATTATGTATGCATACATGCAAAACACAATAGAAGATGAGTAAAGTACAATACGTACTCTCGGTTTTATTAGGTCTGGCAGGCTCATAAAGTTCCTTCATCCAGCAAATTTACAACACTTTGTATTATTGTTCCTTAGCTCAAGTATTATTAACACATATTATAAGTGTGTATTTACTTGAAAATGTTTATTGACACTCGTATAAAATAAATGTTTCTTCACTGTATATATATGCATATTTATATACAGTTTATTATTTACACTGACCACTTTTCATGTTTGTTTTTTTGTTTTTTAGGGCATGAAACTCCCTAAAAGATTCTTCAACACATGTGAGGCATCATTTTCTAAAGTTTTCTGCCATTTTAATGGTGTAAGATATATAGCATGCTTAGGCTTGATACTTACACCATGAGGGGCTGATAGACATATTTCTTCTGTGATGCAAAGCAAAGCATTGACAAAGAGGAAGGAGATACCTGCTGGGGCTGCTAAGGTTATTGCAATGCAACATTCAGAGTGACGTCACACTGCAGACTTAAAATTATAGTGCGAAGACAGAAAACATCAATTGACGTGCAGTGCCAATTGACACAGGTATCAGTTTAAGGATTCGGGTGGTTTTTAGGCTCATATCCAAGCCCACTGTCAGCTTCAAGGCCATTATTGCCTACCAGTACCAGTACATATTACCTATATTTATGTGGGCACCCCCTGTAACATTGACACTTTCTTTATGGTAAAAATGTTAATTAATTGCTAACTTTATTGTGGGATTATTGTTTCTATCTGTAACTATTTATGTTCTCATATGTACACTTCTTGTATGTTTTGCAAACATATTGCAGATTTTTATCCACGCATTGACATTTGTATTATTTTCTTTGCAGTTGTCGGAGTCATTAGCGTACCGACTTCGAGGTCAAATAGAAGGTCAGCAAACTGCAGCAGAGGTTCCTGGCCCAGCAGCAGCCGCAGAACCACCCCGAGCCCCAGTGGCCCCTGCCCCTGAGCCCCCACCACTTATAACTCCCATTCCTCATATTCCAGAGACTCCTAAAGTCACATATCTTGCTCCAGTTCCAGAAACTGTAGCTCCCACACCTATAGATTCTGAACCTGTGGCTCCTGAGCCAATTGCTCAGAAGCCCCTGATTCCTGAATCTTCAATCCTTGAGCCAGCAGCCCCAGACCCTGTGGTATCTGAGCCTGCGGCCCCAGAGTCTTTGGTTCCTGAGCCAGCAGCCACGGGTGAGTCCCACCCTTTGGCTGATGTGCCAGTAGATACTCCTTCGGGTATTTTAGTTGATGTCTCTGAGCCTTCGCCTTCTGTCCTGCAAAATGTGGCTGAAAATGCTGACCTGCAGCCTCTTGCACTTCTGGATAATGTTTCTCAGTCACAGGAGTCTGCTATGATTGAAAGTTGTGAACCTCAGGTTTCTTTGTCTTTAGATGAGTCTGTTATATCATCTGAGCCACAGAGCCCCTCCGCTGAAACATTAGATCCTCTTGTCTCCGCTGAAACAGTAGATCCTCTCGTCCCCTCCGCTCAAACAGTAGATCCTCTCGTCGAAGAAACAGCGGCAGTCACTATAGAAGCAATTGTCATTTTAGAACAAGTGCAATTGTCTTCCAGTGAAATGCTTTTGGCAGCTGCTTTTCCTGTTGGAGGTGAAAGTAGGTGTAGGATACTATTTAACTCTCTGCCAAAACTGCAACTAGAACTTTGTAGGGTAGAGAGCAGCATGGGAATGGGGTCGTCTTTTATTTCAACTGATATGTTCATAAGCTATGACCTCTCTTGTACAGTACTTAATTGACTGAAGTTGATACAAACTCTTATTATAATACAGAATCAGTTTTCCACTATTCAGTAGGGTAGCTTCTTCATTAGTGTACACCATATTGTTGTACAACTTTACGCTGTCTAGTACAATTAACACAATTTTCACTTACGGTAATCCTTTAGCCAGTCCTTCCACCTTATTCTTTTATTTCCCCTCCCCTCCTCCTCTGCACCTTTCTGACATACAGTACTGTACACAGGTTTTGTTTCTATAAATTTATACTGCCTCACAGCTCCATCCAAATCCTTTCTTACTTTTCTCTGCATTAATTTTGTCCTTATGTCAGGATTGAATTTTTTTTCATCTACTCTACCAACCTTTGCCTTCATGCTGCAATATCTTAATGTGATTCCATCAATCTGCACTCGTTAATTCAAACTCCGTATCATTTTCGTAGTGTATTCGTATAGTAACTTATGCTGGGGCAAAATATCATAGCCGAAGTCTTCATATAAACCTAAAACCACTTAACTTAAGACAACAGAAGAAATAGAATGACAATATCCAGTAAATAAAGTAAAAAAAAAAGCCCAGGTAATTAAAAAACTAAATTTTAAGTTTAGCCCTGTTCATATCAGCCGACGTTCGTATGTTGGGGACCACCCTCTGTATACTCTGCTGAATTTACTATTTAAGTGTTTCAAATACAGATCCACATTTCAGTCATGTGTTAAGATTGTTTTTTTATACAATATTTAACACATCTGTGTACACTTGAGGCTAGCAATGATCTGCAGTAAGTCTTTGTTTATTCTCACTTGATATGGTTAGTGCAGTCAGATGCTTGACACTTCAGAATCTCTGTACAGCATTTCGGTAAGATAGACAATGTTATATATATATATCACTCACAGGTATGGAACCATTTATTTGGCTTGCTTGGGACCTGGGGTTTGCCGGATAGGGTTTGTTTTCCAGCATTAGGTGTGCCAGGCCTAAAATATACAGTAAACACACTGTAACTGGCTGTGAAGTCTTGGTTTAGATCACTAGATTCACCCCTAAAAGTAGCTTTAACTGTACAGTACACTGTAACATTAAAACTTAAAATAGTATGCATATAAACAGCAACAATGATACAAGTTAGTGCTCCACTGTGGACCCTCCAACCTCCACACTCACTCAGACCACGCAGCTTCACAGATGTAAACCCATAGATACGTTAAGCTTTATACCTTATGACAATTATTTATATTTGCACATTCTGTATGTATGGATTGTGTGTGCATGTAACTGAGTAAAAAAACACAAAGAAAACTACATGTATCTACCCAAAATTACCAGTTGAACAATACTTGATAAAGTACCTTGTGATATTTTGTTCACTTCTTGTATGTAAAGTTGAGTGTGAAGGCTACTTAGAAAAGAAATGAAGAAAATTACATAAACAGTATCTACCCAAAAATATGAGTTAAAGAATAACCATAATACAGTGGCCCCTCCATTAACGAACTCAATCCGTTCCAGAAGGTCGTTCGTTAACCGAAACGTTCGTTAACCGAAACCATTGTTTCAATGGGTTTTTGGGTAATTGGTTCCAGCTCACCGAAAATTTCCTAACTTCAACAAAAATGGCGGAAAAATTTACTTACTTTGAGGTGTGTATGTAGAAGGCTCCTGGATGATGGTGATGATGTGCATTTGAAGTGGGAGGTGCAGGAGGAGAAGGGAGAAGAGAAGGAAGTGGAGGTGGAGGAGAAGCATTTTACTGCTTCTTGGAAGGTGAGTCACCTTCCATGAAAATGTCAGGAACCTCTGGACTGACAGATTCTCCACCATGAACATCCTCTCTCCTTCTTGAAGTGGAAGGCTGAGGGCTAGCATCTTGTTCCCTCTGCCTTTTACTGAAGAAAGTGTCAATTGTGGTCTGTGGGGCATCTGTCCTCCTCACCATTAACTTATGTTTAAAGAAGGAGACCACTGAGTCCTCAACATGACACAAAGTTAGTTCAGTTTTTTCCACTTCTGGGTGCTTTGAAGTCAGTTCCCTGAACTTCTCCCAGTGGTAAATCACATCTTTCAACTGTTTAGCTGACATATGGTCATCACTTTCAATTTCCTCCTCACCACTGTCAGCCTCTACCCGTAACATCTCATCCAGTTCCTTCAAGTCATCAGGAGTAAGTTCCTCCTCATGAGACATCACAAGCTCTTCCACATCCTTCTCCTCCACTTCAAGGCCCAATGACTGACCAATGGACACAATCTCCTGGTCCAACTGTGTCATCTTCAAATCCCTCAAAATCATGGACTACTGATGGCCACAGTGCTTTCCATGAAGAATTGAGGGTTCTAGTGGAGACTTCTTGCCATGATGACACAATCAATTTTACAGCCTCCAGGACGTTGAATTGTGTCTTCCAGAACTGTTTCAGTGTTAGTTCAGGATCATTGGAAGTTGCCTAATGACACCTCCTAAACATTTTCTTCATGTACAACTTCTTGAAGTTGCTGATTACATTCTGGTCCATTGGCTGTATGAGTGATGTAGTGTTTGGAGGCAAAAACAACACTTTCACAAAGTCAAATTGATACTCCAAATTTCTGGCAAGGTCAGGGTCATGACCAGGAGCATTATCCATGAGGAGAAGAGCCTTTAAAGGAAGTTTATTGGTGGTTAGGTAGCTCTTGACAGAGGGGCAAAACACATCAACAGCCCATTCATTAAAGAACTGTCTTGTCACCCATGCCTTACGGTTGGACTTCCAATAAACTCCAAGCATTGTTCTTACCACTTTCTGTTGCTTGAACACCCTGGGGTTTTCAGAGTGGTAGACAAGCATAGGCTTCAGTCGGAAATCCCCTGAAGCATTGGCACCAAGCAGTAGAGTGAGACGGTCTTTCATGGGTTTATGCCCAGGTAAAGAGGCTTCATCTTTGGTGATGAATGTTCTTTTGGGCATCTTTTTCCAGAACAGCCCAGTTTCGTCCACATTGAACACTTGCTGTGGAAGATAATTTCTTCTTCCATCAGTTTTTTAAATTCAACTAAAAACTTTGCTGCCCCTTCTTTATCAGCACTAGCAGCTTCACCATGCCTAACAACACTTAAAATGTCACTTCTTTTCTTAAATTTTTCGAACCAGCCTTTGCTAGCCCAAAAATCTTCAAATTCTGTTCCTGAAGAACCAGGTTGATCTGCCTTTAAATGTTCATAAATCTCCCTGGCTCTTTCACAAATGAAATCACCAGAAACTGAATCACCTTTCATCTGTTTTTCCCTAATCCAGATGATAAGTAACCTCTCAGTTTCTACGATTAGGGATCTACTTTTAAACACTCTTGTAGATTTGTCTCTCACGTTCACTTCCTTAAATTTGTCTTTTTGTGCAAGAATTGTCGACACAGTTGATGCCGACATGCCATATTCTTTGCATAGCGCATTTGATTTAATACCTTGTTCGTGTTTTTTTATTATTTCCTGCTTTATTTGGATTGAAATCGCTTTTCTTGATCTCTTAGGCCCCATGCTGGATTCAAACAATGGCAACACGTATTTTTCAAAGTTAAACTAGCTGTAAATAAAGAATATTTTCTTTAAAATAACACTGCACTGCACTATATATTGTCAATATGTAAAATAATTTTCAAAATGACCAATAATTTGCTTGGAAACACAGAAAAAAAGCGTTTAGTTGAAGAGAGTCTCAAGCAAGATGTTACCTCCAGTGAAAACAGAGAGAGACTGACGCCTGTTTGCTGTGTTAAGAGGCTGGATGCCGCGCATTAAACTAGTCACTTTACCTTCAATTTTGCTCAATAATTGTTAAAATGACTAAAAAATTGAATATTAAACTTTTAAAATTATTGAATAGTATAAACTTCTTGATATTTACTAAAATAGTAAGGAATTTAAGCCCTAGAACCGATTAATGTATTGGCGGACTGATACTAAAGCTGGTTGCCCGGTCAGTGCAAGCGAAAATATGTTGAGGTCGGTTTGTAAGAAGTTCGTTAAGCGAAATTTTTTTCGTTAACCGAATTGAAGATCCTTATGGAAGGCAGTTCGTTAATCGAAATTACGTTAACCGAGGTGTTCGTTAAACGAGGGGTCACTGTACTGTATTACATATACTGTAGCTCATAGGTGGGGATTGGTTGGAAATCTCCCCGGTTGGCCCAGGAATTACTTGCGGCACTCATTTTAAATTATTTGTTCCAGAATATAGCAGGGGGGGGGGCATTCTGGATACCAGAACACTGGGTAAATGGTCCCTTACTTGTACTATAAGTTGATTGCACATTTTATATCAGAAATTGTGAAGTCTAATTAGACAGGAAACTCAAAGGATGTAAATTTGGACAACAGTTATGCACACTAATTTTGAACTAAGTTTGGGAAACATAAACATTAAAAAACTCGGGAATTTGTTGGGTACTTGTATCTAATTTTTCTAACCTCTCCTGTAAGCCTTTTCCCATAGTAAATCAGAGTTACCAAATTCATTTATCAAACACTCTTTTTCAATTTAGCACTCGACTGCTTCAGTAGATGTGTTAAATTATGTTCCTCATATTTTACAACAAGATCCTAAGATACCCATCTGGTTTATTCTTGTATCTTAGCGTAACCTAACAGTACGTCCATCCCAAAAACGCGCTTGATGCCATGCTTACCAATCATTCATACACACGCAGCTGCTTCCTGGATGCTCATCTCCCTGATGTCCAGTGCCTCTCCCTATCCGATCCTTCCATTTTCTTGTGTTTAATTTTCTATCCCTTGAACTATTCACTTTTATTTCTTAGTAAGGTATGATGTGTATCAATCTTGAAGGTGAACTGAAAAATTGATGAGACTAAAGCTTCCCCTAGTACACTGTATTATTATTATTTTTTTTTTCTCAGTGCATCTTTCCATTATTTATTGACCTTACTGTCACTGTTATTCTTAGTTTTTTCTTTTTATACTGGCTCTACTAACTTCTTTTTATTGAGAATATGAACTTTTTATTCAGCCATGAATATTTGTCTGTATACATTGTGTATGCTTTTTTCCCGCATTCATTGTGGGACTTTCTTTTCCTTTGTGATTGAATTTGCTGGTTTAATCTGCAATGGCTTGTGAATGCTTATAACAAAATTGCCTACAGTTTTATCATCATTAACATGAAAAAGATCTTGAAGTAAACATGTAAGTTAATTTTAATATTTCTCTAAAGTTTAAACCAGACATGAGAAGTGAACTCAGGTAAGGCATTCATAGTTGCTTTTGTCTTATGAAGAGAAAATGAAGTTACCATTTCAGAGGATTTAGTTGTGTTTTGTATCATTTCAGAGCTTGCAATGGATTATTGGTGTTATCTTTGGAAACATTACATTCTGGTTTTATACCTAAATAAGGCTGACCTTATCAATTTGTAGTACTGTAATGGTAAGATGCTTTAAATACTTTTTAGCTGAAGTATTAATGCTGAAGGATTTATTAGCTTTTGTTGAGCTATTAATGCAAGATAAATTGACTTTTGCTGAAATATTAATGCAAAATACATTGGCTTTTATTGAAATCTTCATATACATAATATACTGTACACTAACTTTTATTGAACTGTTAAGGCAAAAAAGTGAGACAAATTTGCATGCGCTAGGAACCTAACCCATTCCCTCCATCCTGTAATCCTAAGGCTAACTGGTTTGTGGCTCGTGCTCTGGCCTGTAATGCGGAGTTATGTCCAGGACTAACCTGTCTAGTGCTGTAACATGACCAGGACTTCATTTATATAATGCTGCACACTATGAGTACTGTACTGTATTTGGCACTACTATGTTTCTAGAACTGGTACATACATGGTACTGCTACACCTCTGTTGTTATATACAGTACGCCTCGATATCAATGGATTTTTAATTTGCAGTCCTATTATTCGCAGATGACACTGGATGTACCCAAGAATGTCTAAGGATAGGTTTAAAGTTCCTGACATTTTCGTGGCCAGGCTAGGAGTTCATTCATAGAGATAGTACTTTATTTTACTCTGTATATATGTGTGTACACACACACACACACACACACACACACACAATAAAAATAATAATAATGAGAAAATACTCTCAAATAATAAGAAATTTTTTTTTGTAATGTCTACCCCAAGTCTACCTTGTGCTCTAATATGCACAGAGTGGACTTGAGGTAGAATCAACATTTTATAATTTTTCTTGATTATTTCTGAGAGGATTCTTTCACACACACACACACATATATATATATATATATATATATATATATATATATATATATATATATATATATATATATATATATATATATATATATATATATATATATATATATATATATATATATACAATACAGTACTGTACAGGTAAAAGATATAATTGTTCTAAAGGCAAACACACAAAGGGAATATACATTTTTTGTACACAAGTAAATATGTACTCGTAAGCAAATGTTATTAGCGGATTTGGCGATTTGTGGCCATTTTGAGAACCTAACTCCCACGAATTTGAAGGACATGCTGTAGTAAGGTAATGTGCCAAGGATTGTTTCATACCTGATTTATGTCATGCACTGAACTGTGTCAAGCTGGATTATTTTTATGTGCCTGGTAGTGTCACAAGCTTGGTACAGTCTCATGCCTAGTACTATCATGTACAGTACATGCTTGTGTCAATACTGTTGTGTACGTATCTATTGGTGTCATGCACATACTGTACCTGGTACTGGAACATACATATGAACACCACATACCTGGCACTGGCACATGTCTGGTGGTGCCATGTACTGTACCTTACAGTCATTTGCTTAGTATGAGGTGCCTGGTTTTGTCACTTAGATAGTTTCATTACCAAAAATTGTTTGGTATGATTGTATTTCAGATACGGTCAAAAGTTTGGCACTTAGACTTGTTAGTTGTGGTCATGTGCTAGATATTGGTATGTTGGTGGAACTCACGTGAAACATACTTTATTGATCTAATGCATTTCTAGGCCTTTGGAATGACTTACAATGCTTGTAGTTAACTACTAATATGTACATTGCTTGTTGGTGGCAAATGTTTAATTGTAAGGATTTTATTATTCACTTCTGAAATATTGGTAATACTGTAGCTCTTCGTAAATAAATACACACACTATATATATATATATATATATATATATATATATATATATATATATATATATATATATATTATATATATATATATATATATATATATATATATTATATATATATATATATATATATATATATATATATATATATATATATATATATATATATATATATATATATATATATATATATATATATATATGGCTTTAATGTAAACAATTGAGTTTGAAACACAGGTAATATAACTTAATAATAATTTGGGTATATTAATTATAATACATCCATGTTTCACAGTATGGCATATCATTATGTTCTCCTACACAGCTCCAGCAGTAGCTGAGGCCACATCAGAAGCAACAGTTCCTCCATCAGCTGAAACCATCACAGTTTCCCCATCATTGTCTCTACCAATTGAAGTAAATGAAGTCCCAAGAAAGGAACTACCTGAAACTGCCTCCCCTCCTGCAGCAGCTACAGTATCCCCTCCAGATCTTGAGGTGGCAGTCAAGTAAGTGTAACACAAGAATTTATCATCAATACCGTACCCAAAACTTTATTTAACTTCCTGTACTGTAATTACTGTTAAATATTTTGCTCTTTCATAAAACTCTTACCTCATAGTTTTTAGCATACCTCACTTTGATAGTTCCTTACATTCCATTAATACTCTGGCAAATATCTCATCGGGACCTGGTAACTTATTAGGCTTTAGCTTGTTTATTTGTTTAAAACATCGTTGCTAGTCACAATCTTGTTTAAATTTATGGTGGTGAAAACTGAACCATGCATGTGTGTGATAGTGACTTCTATTATAGATAGACTAACACAAAATTTGAGTATGATTATCAGCGAATGTTCATTGTATCAACAGCAAAAATGAAGAGTCAAAAGTTTGCATAACCATGTTCATTATTAAATTTATAATTTCTGTCACAAAGTGGATCCCAGAGGCCAAATGGCCCATTAGGGACAGCTTGGAAACAAATCACTTATTAAATGGTTTTGGTTCACATGAGGGTAGTGTGACCAGCATTGCTCTTAACTCCCATCACTTCTCCAACTATTAAGTTAGCTGCTCATTGACAACTGGGTGGACTGGGGATGAATTCGGTACGAACCAGTGATCCATTGGATGAGAGGCAAGCACTGTATCCACTATGTTGCCACGCCCTAGAATTTTAGTAATCACATTTGGAACCTTGAGTACAGAGACAGGTTAAAGCATCTTAATTTGTACTCCCTCGAGAGATGTACCGTATATCACGGCCTATAAGACGAAATTTGAACATTAAAAAAATCTGCCCAAAGTTAGGGGGTCGTCTAAACCACCAAGTTTAAAATTCTTACCTCTTAAATATTGTGGTTTAGTGTGTCAAGAGTGGTGATGAAAACATCGTAAGCCACTCACAAGGTCTTACCACTAATTATTTTATACTGAAACTTACGTTTGGCAAGCTGGATTCAAATTAAGATTACCGGTATATTAAAATAATAAAAATGTATTATAAACCTGTCTAACATACCGTAAAAGAGATTTATACCCCTATAATAAACACAGCTATCATCACACACCCCTCCCCACGCCCCCCCCCCATTTGCCAGTGAGGAGCCGTGGAGGTGGTCAGTAATGCATACCGGTATCGGTATATTTACTCATAATAATATTTATCTCCTATAAATAATTGATTTAAATTTTATTTTTTTCCAAAGAATATTCAGTAAATGAGTGCATTAATTCTTGAAACTATCGACGGTTAATTACAGACGCTCAAGTGACGTCACTAGTGTTTACACTACACCAGCTGGTAATATTTGATGCCATTACTTGAAGTGAATTGGCCTTATTTTAAGTAACTAACTATAAATAAATACAAAAATTAAAAAAAAAGATCAAAACTGAGAAATAATATACTGTATGTATGTTGTGTTGTCAAAGTTAGAGGAACAATTGTGTAAGTACGTAATATTTTTTCACTCAAATCCTAATGAAACACTACTGGAGAACATTCCTTTGTCGCAAAACAGTTTATAAATTAAAGAAAATAATTACAGTGTGTTTAATATATTACAGTATATTATAAATAAATAAATAAAACAAATAATTCGGTAAATCTATTTAAAGTAAATGGAAAATAAGCAAACATGTTATTTACCAAGACCCTTCCGTCTGGCTCAGGGTGAGATGTAGGGGAGATAAAGAAGGCTATTTATAGCCCATCAGAAGTGACCAGTACCCTAATGCACCATAAATAATTCATTGAACATTCATTTTTTGTACATAGTATATTCAGTATATATATATATATATATATATATATATATATATATATATATATATATATATATATATATATATATATATATATATATATATATATATATATATATATATATATATATATATATATTTGTGTAATAAATGTATGTAGTAAGTACATACTGGTAACCTTTTTCACTCAAATCCTAATGAAACACCACAATTAGAATACGGTGGTTGCTGTTGAACCACATGTTGTATAAATAGTCACACCACCGAGACGAGGGAACACTCCCAACACGCTTCAGTGACGTCACTAGTGTTTACACTACACCAGCGGGTATAATTTGATGACATTACTTGAAGTGAATTGGCCTTATTTTAAAAAATCAAGGATGGTTGGTAAAGGACTACTGAGTCAGTGGGTAAGTGTCACATTTGGGGTACTGGTCTTATACAGCAAATAGAGCTCAAAAGCTACTTTTTAAATGGAAATTTGGGGGGGGCGTCTTATGCACCCCGCCGCCTTATAGGCCGTGATATACGGTAGAGTAAGGGGCGATGTGATGGAGGTGCATAAATGGAAGTCAGGGCTAAACAAAGAAGACATTACAAAGGTACTCAAACTATCCAACTAGGGGCAAACTTGTAACAATGGTTTTAAATTAGACAAATTTAGATTTATGCGTGAAATAGGTAAACATTGGTTTGGAAATATAGTAGTGGACGAGTGGAACAAGTTACCAAATATCATCATTAACTCGAATACGCTGGATAGCTTCAAACATAGGTTGAATGGATACATGAGCAATAGGGTTTTGTGTAAATGGGACTGGTATGGGCCTATAGGCCTGCTGCAGTTTCCTCCATTCTTATGTTCTTATGTTCTTCGAGACAAGGTAATGACATTCAGGTACGGTATTAGGGTCCATGGTCCCCGAGACCTAAAGTGACCTGAGATGCGCGTGATACAAAATCATTCTTCTAGCAGGTTGTACAAGAATTTACAAACTCTAAAACTGGATTTTTAGATGCACAGCTAAATTTGGATTAACACGAAATTTAGAAAGTTCATTCTGTTTTAACGTACACCTCTCACAAGTGTCGAACTAAGTCACTTAATCTAACCTCACAGGAGCCACTGCCTCCTAAGTTATTGGGTGGGCCAAGGAGTGAATAGTCACCATGGAACCATCTTAATATTGTTGTTGGATCACAGGGTGAGTTAGGTTGTGTAAGGTAATCACAGGATTATGATTTGTAACAATTGAGATACCAATTACTGTTTAGCTTTACAATTACAGTGGTCCCTCGGTTAACGAGCACAATCCATTCCAGCAGGTTGCTCGTTAACCGAAACCATTGTTTCAATGGGTTTTTGGGCAATTGGTTCCAGCTCACCGAAAATTGCCTAAATTCAACAAAAAAGGTAGAAAAGTACACTTACTTTGAGGTGTGTATGTAGAAGGCTCCTGGATGAGGATGATGATGATGGGAATTAGAATGGGGGTGGAGGAGAAGGGAGAAGAGAAGGCATTGGGGTGGAAGAGAAGTCACCCCATGGCACCATTTCACCCATAAAATTTTAGTTCTCTTGGTGTAATTCAAGATTATCTTCTTTAAATCAACACTGCACTGCATTATATATTGTCAATATGTAAAATAGATTTCAAAATGACCAATAATTTGCTTGGAAACACAGAAGAAAAGCATTTAGTTGAAGAGAGTCTCAAGCAAGATGTTACCTCCACTGAAAACAGAGGGAGACTAACACCTGTCTGGTGTGTTAACAGGCTGGATGGCATGCCAGAAACTAGTTTCTTTACCTTCAATTATGTTCAATAATTGTTAAAATGACTAAAAAAGTTAATATTAAACTTTTAAAATTATTGAATAGTATAAACTTCTTGATATTTACTAAAATAGTAAGGAATTTAAGCCCTAAAACCGATTACTGTATTGGCGGACTAATACTACAGCTGGTGGACCGCCAAATGCAAGCGAAAACATGTTGAAGTCGGCTCGTAAAAAACTCGTTAATCGAGGGATTGCTCGTTAACCGAAGTTAAGAATCTTATGGAAGGTAAATCGTAAACCGAAATCTCGTTAACCGAGGCGCTCGTTAACCGAGGGATCACTGTAAATACCTGTGTCATTGTCGGAGGATTTGTATTGAACAAAAATACCTGCACTAATTTACACAATAAATTAATGTTATTGTTTAATGCAATTGTGTTAGAGAGGATATTGGTGTAACTAATTGTGTTAATAAATTTTCAAGTACAGTATGTACCACCATGTGTTGAGCACAAACATTTATATATCGTGTAAATAATACCTGTACTTTTGACTGATGTATTGTATATGTCAAGAAGATAATCTACAGTAGCCTACAGATCTGCATTGAAAACAAATGAAGGCTTTTGGGTTACTAATCTATATTCGGTATTTTTAATATTATACACAAATATTTAAAATGCAAAGTAAACCTCAACAGGTTAAACCAGAATTTTCTGTGTTCTAAGCCATTCAGTGCAATAATTGGTCCAGTGACATGTCACAGTCTCCATTGTAGGCTACTTGACGATCACTTGACTTTTCTTAAAAAGAACTTAATAATAGGGCAATGTTATTAGGATATGACATAATACATATACTGTACTACAGTAATTAGTTTTAAGTTCAGTATTGAATGGCATTTGCTGTGCTCAGAAGTTTATGGAAACAGTATTATGTTTTAATTTGATGATGTCTTGCAGAGCTGGGCCACCACCTACACTTTCTCAGCCAGCAGGAAACATACCACCTTGGTCAATATATGCAGAGGAAGCCCACTTAATGGTCATGCGTTTACGAGAAGAGAAAGAACAAGAGATACAAAAACTCAACCTTAATTGGCGAGATAAAATGGACGCCAGAGAAAAGGAAGTAAGTAAAAAATCAGGGAGATGCCAGAGAAGGACCAACAGCAAATAAAATTCTGATGACCTAATGGTTTCCTGATAAATAACAGTTTTGGCTGAAGATGAGTTCTAGAAGGAAGAAGAAACAGATTTTGATGTAAAAGAATAGTGCTGGGGAGATTTTTTTTTTTTTTTTTTTTCGGAGAATAGCCCACCCGGGCACAGGTCATCGACCCACAACGGGGTCTGGGGGTGAAAAGCTTTACTACTGTATTATGATCGCTCACAAAGCCTTCTTAGTTTGTGGATACCCAGTATATTTCTTTGTGTGTGAAATTACATTTTCTCTTTCGTCACTGCAGTTGACCACTTAGTTTTCTCATTCTGTATGCCATGTTCCTTATTACATTGGGAAATCTATTTATTTCTGCAGAATGCCACTGCTTCTTCTATGCTTTACTGACTAGGCCATTATGAAGTACAGTAGACCCTTGCCATTCGCAAGGGATAGGTTCCAAGAAGTGTCGCAAATTGGCAAATCCGCGAATAGCCACTTGTATACCTTATTGCACTAATATACAGGTATATCTACACTGTGTATGAGAAACTTAAGTCACAATACTGTACAGTGCTTACATTCATATGTGGAAGTTCATCAGGATCACTGTTGGAGAGGGTGAATCAGTGGTGGTTGGTGGTGAGGCGGGTGGTGGAGTGACACGCAATCGAGAGGTGGAGTGGCGTGCAATTGGGAGGTAGAGCGGCGCGCGATTGGGAGGTGGAGCGGCGCGCGGTTGGGAGGTAGAGCGGCGCGCGGTTGGGAGGTGGAGCGGCGCGCGGTTGGGAGGTGGAGCGGCGCGCGGTTGGGAGGTAGAGCAGCACATAGTTATGAGGTGGAGCGGCGCACGGTTGGGAGGTGGAGCGGCACGCGGTTGGGAGGTGGAGGTGGCGCGCAGTTGGGAGGTGGAGCAGCGCGCGGCTGGGCTGTGGCTGGGAGGAGGAGGAGAAGGGTGGAGTGGCAATGGTAGTGGCTGGTTTTTTCTTGAAAAGAACATGGTGATTGGTAGTTGTTTCCTCTAGGCCTTGAGGTCTTTAAACATCTCCTGGTAGAGAAACAATACTTGGTTGATTTTTCAGATCATCTTAAGGCTGCGTTTCATGGAAGGGTCGTGGTCAACAATGAAATCATTCACCATCTTTACCTGACAAAATAGTTCATCGAAAATTTCCAAGCTCCAACCTTCTTGTTGTAATTCCATAATGTCTTCCTCTTTATCTTCCTTGGCACTTTTCACCCACTCTTCCAAGTCCTCATTTGTAAGTTCCTCTCCATGCCCATCAGTCAGCTCTTCCAAGTCTTCAGCAGCCATGTCCACAAACCCTTCACCACCCAACTGACGTGCAACACTCACAATGTCATTCACATCCTTTACTATGGATGAAAATCCCTGGAAGTTATTCACACACTCAGGCCATAAGGTGTGCCAACAAGCATTCACTGTCTCTGGTTTGAGTTCATTGAATGCTTCACTGATGTTGGTAATGCTGTACACAATGCTGTACTCCTTCCAACACTTGATAACATCAAGGTCAGGGTCTTCATCCTTGGCACTATGGATACGATCCAAAGAGCAGCGTGTATAATATGCCTTGAAGGTGCGTATTACATCCTGATGGAGAGGTTGGGTAAGAGCAGTGGTGTTTAGGGGTAGGAACACCACCTCCACACCTGGATGGCTAAACTGTAAACTTTCTGGGTGGCCTGGTGCAGTGTCTATCAATAATAACACCTTCAATTCCATCTTCTTGGAAGCAAAGTATTTTTACACTTCCGGGATGTAACATTTATGGAATTGGTCCAGGAATGCTTGCACAGTTACCCGTGCCTTTTTGGTGGACTGCCAAGACACTGGCAAAAGGTTCTTGTTTTTTCCCTTTAAAGCCCTAGGGTTTGCTGAGTGGTAAAGCAAGCCAGGTTTGATCATGTGGGCAGCCACATTGCCACAAAAGATGAGCGTCTTTGGCTGCCTTGAACCCAGGGGCACGCCTCTCCTGCTTGTTAATGTGTTTTCTACCAGGCATTTTTTTCCAATATAAACCAGATTCATCAGCATTAAACACTTGCTCTGGTCTATACCCTTTCTCTTCTATTATTTTCTTTAGTTTGGCGGGAAATGCACCTGCGGCTGTGTGGTCAGCTGATGTGGCCTCCCCAGTTAGCTTCACGTTATGGAGTGAGAATCTTTTCTTAAAATTCTCCAACCAACCTTTACTGGCACTAAAAGTTGGTTCAGTCACTTCATTAGCCCCTTCACCTGTTGATTCGAAAAATTAGCATGAAGACTTTTAGCCTTTTCACGAATCATTTTGCTGTCGATTGGAACATTTTTGCGGTGATGGTCCTCAACTCAAATGTTCAGTGCCTTTTCTGTTTTTACTATGTTCTTGTCACGAACAACCTGCGCCACTTTAGCACTTGCAGGAGCACTGGCTTGAACAGAATCATGAATTGCTTGTTCATTCTTTTTTATGCACTGCACTGTGGATTCGTTCACACCAAACAACCGCCCACCGCAGCAGCACTCATTCCCTCTTATAACTTGTCTAATAACTAAATTTTCTTTGCCAGGGACATCACTGACTTTTGCCTTTTATGTTTCACTCCACTAGCATCACTAATACTGACACTAGGCAGTCTTTTAGGGTAAATTTTCACAATGAAACACGAAAGTTTTGAGAGTATGACACGGGATGCTAGGTCATGGGTACTAGGTGAGGGTAAACAGAGCGAGACGAGACGCCGCGGGCACGTGGGGTGACTTGTTGTGCTGCGGGAGAAGGTTTGCATGCTAGCCACCTGAGCCACCAACTGCTTACCGCAAATCGCCGAAATCGCGATTCGTAAACCTACGAATGGGAAGGGTCTACTGTAATTATTTACATTTACAGTGCTTTCAGCTAATCTTTTGAATCTGAATTTGAATGTGCAAAAACATGAAGTTTTAAGAAATGAAGAAAAGAATTCTACACCTTCTATAATTTGAGATAGAATTTATGGAGAACAACATACTGTAAGAAATGGGCAATTGGTTTCATCAATGTACAATACTCATGAAATAGGTCAACAAAGGATATAGTTTTGTAGATAATCCTCAAATGATAAATCTTTAATTATAACATTAAACCCTTATGGAAATTTTTTTTTAAAAGCATTCAGTAAGTCCGCGCTTAACGTCGTCTTGCTTAACTTTGTTTTGGTACTACGTCGCTAAACTTTAGAGACCAAAAATTCGTTTAACGTCCCGGTGATCCGATACTACGTCGTTTTGCGTCGTCACGGACTACATTTTACGGTGTATCGCCCTCTCGTCTGGCCACGCTATGCTCTCTCGGCTTGGCGCAGTCTCTCAGTGAATCGCCACCCTCCCCTTCCGCCCTCCTCCTCCCCTCCCACCATACTCCTCCCCTCCCGCCATCCGCCTCCTCTGTTTCACTACCCACCACACACTCACTCTACCACCTCCGCCCATTGGTGAGTACCAATACAAACTTAGTACAGTAGTTGTATATGTCTGCATTATTTTCTATAGAAATGACAATGCTTTTCTATATATGTAATGTATTTCATGGGGCAAAGGGAGACTCAGGAACGTAACTCCCATATTTTATCTCTTTCTTATGGGGAAAATTGATCCGCTTAACGTTGTTTCGTATAACGTCACGTTCTTAGGAACTTAACCCAGATGTTAAGCGAGGACTTACTGTAGGTGTACTTAGTTTTTATTAATTTGTTTTGTGTAGTTAGGGTATTTTCGGTGTATTAGTCATCGGAGTTACTGCGTAAAATAAATCTGACCACAGTTCTCGTTGCTTAGACTTGTTCAGGTATTGCATATTTTAATTACAATATTTGACTTTTGTTTAGTGGTCATTTTAAACTGATCATTCTGTAAGTTAGGAAGTTCCTTTATGTGGTTTAGAAAGTATGCTAAGACTAAGAATGTAAACCTTTAACCATTTTCCCCCAACAGTTCACTAAGATGGCCCATCTGTCAGAAGAGGAAGCCACTGCTGCTCTTAAAGATGTTGAAAAGTTGTTTTTGAAAGCAAGTTGTTCCCCTATCTGCCAAAATCATCAAGAGGCTGTTATGAACTGTTATCAAGACCACCCACGGCAGTCCCTTCGATGTGCAAAAGAGGTGGAGAATTTCACTCAGTGTGTGGATTTATCACGATTGGTAAGAATTATGTGAAATTATTAAATAAAAAGATTAAGTTTTACTTTGTTGTATAATCTTAATACTGAAAATATTGTTAACTTGTTGTGAGTATCAGTAAATGTTGGTATTACAGGGGATCAACAAGTCCTTTTGAGTAAATAGTACTCTATATATAATGTACAGTATACTGTACAGGTATATTCTTTTTTTTTTTTTAACCTTTTCAAGCCATTAACAAGTTCATGTTAATTTCTTTCCTTCTTTAATTATCATTCACTTGTTCTTAACACTGTAGATGATGTGTTCAGCTGTGGTATTCCCTTTCCACAACACGACAACAAATCTATTGAACCTTTTTCCTCGGTAAAAACCGGTTTCACCCAACAACAGCAGGTCCTTCCTTAAAAATCCCTCAACACCATGCTCTCTGCTCTGCTTCTTCATGGAAGTATGTTCCCATACCTCTAATGTGTCCTTCACTCCATTCTTCCATCTCCTTTTTGGTCTTTCTCTGTATCTCTTTTGAACTTTTTTAATTAATGTACAGTACAGTGGTCTCTCGATTACGAACGGTTCAATTAACGAGATTTCAGTTAATGAATTAGTTCCCATGAGGATTTTCAATTCCATTAACGAACAAAACTTTGATTAACAACAGCCTTATGAGAAACACGCTTTGTTGTGGGTATAAGCTGATCACCTGATTAGCTAGTCTGCCAATATAGTAATTGGTTCTTTGTTTACATTCGTTTCCAGTGGAGTAAATATCAAGAAGTTGTGCTCTTGTTTATTTTTGCATTTATTGAATTAAAATTATTGGTCATTCTGAAATTTAGTGAACATATTGATAATATATACAGAACAGGGAACAGTTTTTGTGTGCCCTTCAGCTGATCGAATCACCCACCAACGCTTCTCGGTTTAACTTTGTTTACAGTGGAGTGAACATCAAGTTTGTTGGTCTCTTGATTATTTTTGCATTTTTACATTAAAATTCTTGGTCATTCTGAAATTTAGTTAACATAATGTAATATACAGTATGGAAATTATTATAAAACATGAAGAAGGCATTAGAACCAATGCACTTTGTAAAGAATATGGCATGTCATCATTAACTGCCTCTACAATCAACTGTTTGATATGTAAACAAAGCTGCCGGGAATACGACATACAGTATAGTCTCTATTTACGCGGTCAATTGAACCCGTGGAGGTCCACGTAAAACGAGAAACGCGTAAACGAAATAACAGAACATATGGGATTAATTGTAAAGGAGACTGGGCCGACCCCCCAAACTCCACTTTTTCCGACACAATACCTACGTTGTAGTAAAAATAGTTTCTTAATTTTATGATGGTATGCACACACAATTAATAATTAAGAGAAATATCAATAAAATTAGGTTTTTTAACACTTACGTTAGTAGAAAAGATGGCTGGGCACCTGGGGATGGGGGGTTGGTTCTGAGGCAGAGGGCAGATTATTGGCCCTCACCTGTATCAATTGTATCACTATCCACCACAGAGGCTTGCAGGGCCTCTTTGTCAAACCCCTCAAAGTCCATATCCTCACTATCACTGACTTGGGCTGGCTGTGGCGGGTGAAGAACTCGGTAATGTTTTGATGACTGGGCGACCTTGTGCGTACCCTGCCTGCGCCGCTTCCCGCGTATGGTGAAGCATGGACCGCGTGAATACAAAATGGCGCGGCGGGTTTGTACCTCTCCAGCCGCTTGCCGCGTAAATGATGAAATTTTCCGCGTAATTCAAACATTTCATTCTGGCAAGGCACCGCGTAAATGACCAAACGTGTAAACAAAATTCGCGTAAATCGAGACTATACTGTACACACCTCAAAGTAAGTTAAAATACAGTATTCTATTGTTTTTTATTTATTATTGTACAGTACAGTAAAGCCTCGAATAATGACTTTAATATGTCCTCCAATATTGCAGTGTAAGGTGAATCATTAATTACCATTAAAATAAAGCAATAATAATGAGATGCGTTCCCAAGTGTGACCTTTTCATATTTTTTGTGTGGCTTTTTACCCTCTCTTCCCCCCAAAACAATAAAATTAATGAAAATTGCAAACTATAATCTTTAAATAATGTTTCTGAATGTACCTTATACAATGTAAATTAATAATAATATGGTCACACAAGAGGAGATGGGACGCCATTGTTTTTGTTTATGTTTGCAGCCCGGAGTCCGGGACGATAGTTCTACACGAGAAAATGAAGAAAATATGACCCTGGTTGTAGCCGTAGTAAAGTTAATGTAAAAAAATGAATAAATATGTTTTAAGTAATGTTATTTAATGTTAATAAATGGAACAATAGAAGTAGCTAACCACTAATGGCAAAGAAAAAAAAAGAGATAGATTAGCGCCAAAATATACCGTACGTGCGCATTTAAGGATGCTGTGTCATATATCTTTTTAAGAATATGTACAAAAGATTCATTATTGTTTATTGCTGAATATGTATTTGATTGAATTAATCTTTATATATGCGAAATTAACAATACAATTCATTAATAATACGTAGAATATTAAAACACACAAGAGGATAAGAGACGGCATTATTGTCAGTGTTTACACCCACAATGTCAGTTATCCACCTGAAACTGAAGAAAATAAGACCCTGGTTGTTGTTGTAGTAAAATTAATGTAAAAAATATGTTTGTGTTAATTAATGTTATTTGTTGTACAGTAGAAGTAACCACTGATGTTAAAGAAAATTAAAGAATATTAAAACATACACGAGGAGACAAGACGGCATTGTTTTCGTGAGTGACGATGGTTATACATAAGAAATTGAAGAAATTAAGACCCTGGTTGTAGCTGTAGTGAACTTAATTAAAAAAAAATTGATTACCTGTATGTATGTTTTAAGTAATATTATTTAATGTTAAATGAAACACAAAATAGCTAACCACTAATGGTAAAGAAATAAAGCGAGACGATTGGGAACGCCAAAGTATGAACATTAAGTGCGTACAGTACATGTAAAAACTTATCATCATTTCTCTACATATGAATATGAAAGCAACACTTATTTACTGTTCATATATGTTTACATAATATTTACGAATGTAAAACAAAAATTCTACTCCCCATTGGTGGTAAAGTCTAAAACATAAGGACAGCCAATGAATATTGTGCGAGTTTTTACTCAGATGACGAAGTCATCAGGTTCAACTCTGGCTGAAGCTGCAGCTTTTCAAAAAGCTGTTGCTGAAGCTGTTTATGATGCTGAATTTGATGGTGTAGCTGAAGTTGATGGTTTAGGCCTTCGAATAAAGCTGTTGAAAAAACCTTGCACAGCTGCTTTCTTTTCTCATTATACATCTTTATGTAGAGGTCATTTGCATTTATTTAAATTTTAATGCTTTGTTCTGTTTATGCTCCACTTCAGAAAATATGTTCATTGCTTGCTCCATATAATATCCACAGACCTCTCGTCTTTTTCATATCGTTTTAATACATCCAGTTTCTCGGCTAAGCTTATACACTTCCTATTAGTTTTTGAACCAACACTACCATCACTTGCTCTCTTGCTCATGTTGAATAGGGATGCAAAAATTCTGTAAGAAACTTGGGAAAGTTTTTCTCCCGTTCCTGTTCCAGATGCGGGAAAACAAAAGGCCCGCCAAGCTCCGACTGTTGTTTACCACTCATTAGCAAGGCATCTTCTTTGTGCAAGGTGCTCTTAATTTTTTTTACAGTAATTTTTTTTTATAATACATTTTGGGATTTAGTTATTATTTATATGAAAATGTAATTTTATTTTTTTATTATATTTTGATCGTAAATACAAATGAAATAAGGATGTAAATTGAATTGGGTCCTAAATTAACTAGGGTTTTGAATATGAAAAGTTGTTGGTCGAACCGTTGTTATCGGAGGCTTTACTGTATACTGTACAGTACAGTACTGTATTTAGTTTATATTTAATGTTTTAATTCTATTACCGGTATACAGTACTTTATATGTATACTTTTTCTGAGAGTTGGAAACAATTACCCAATATCCCATTGAAATAATAGATTCAGTTAACGAAATTTTTGGTTAACAGCCGATTCTGTGGAACCAATTGTGTTCTTTAATCGAGGGACCACTGTATACTTAACCAAGCACTCACTTCCAATTCTCTTAATATTTTCACACTGACTGAGCAGTCCCAGATCCACTAGCTAACCCAGTATTTCATTCTTTAACATCTTATTTCTGTATGGAACTACTTATTCTCTGCATCCTTAAGTAGCTACTTACATATTGCTCTCAAGCATACCATTGCTGTTTCTGATATATGAAGAGCCTATGCTTCACACCCAGATAATAACAGCTCATCCATCCATCTTTGCCATGGTTATTTCTCTTTACACATTTTTCATTTGACCCATTACAGTACTTTCTTTCCTGCAGGTCCTCTGTGGTTCATGTCTTTACTCACTTCTATATGCTGACACATCTACTCAATACTTAAAACACATGATTTTTTCCCTTCAATAAATACAAATTAACAAATTTAATTCTTATTCGTATTTTGTGTTATTTACTGTCTTAATAAAATGCAATGTGGCACTTGAGAACCTGTGCACTATTTTTTTTTTTTTTATTCTTAGTTTGTCTCAAGTGTTTGTGTGATAATCTAAAATTTATCTTTTTTCTTTTCAGCAATCTGTAATAAAGCAGAGAGCAAACTAGTTGTGTAAGGAATAAATAGGACATGAATTGATAATTGCCTTAGTTCGATTTGTATGCTGGAGTACCGCTATTGTTCTCCAGATGCCCACGTCAGTGTACAGTTTCATGGGAGTTATGCATGGTTCATGAGTATTTAAATAAAATTCTTGTACATTACTTCAAATCTTTTATTAATAAATATTTACACAGTGAAATAGTTTCAGTATCTCTCTTTCTGAAGTACATAGTACAGCATGCCCTAAAAATTCACCGTATTTAGATTCTCAAAGTGGTCGCGAATTGCCAAATCCACGAATTATATTTGCTGACTGGGGGAGAATTACATATTTACTTGTGTGCAAAGAAATGTATACAGGTGCTCCTCTACTTAAGAAGGTTCAACTTATAAACTTTCAGAGATACAATCATCATCATTGAGGGGGGTTACCTGCCAGAACAGGTGTTTAATGTGGATGAGACTGGATTATTTTGAAGAAAATACCAGATAGAACAAACATTACCTAAGAGGAGAAGAGTGAGCCAGGTTTTACGAATATAGCTGTACTAAATATCTATAATCTTTAAATGTTTTAAAATATGTTTGGTGTCCAGAGTAAAGTCGGACTTACAAACAAGCCTCAGGAATGTACCTCGTTCGTAAGTATAGGAGCATTGTTATTAAAGTTATTAATGGATTGTACTTTCTTTTTTTTTATTTGCAAGAGAAGAGTGGACTGTTCTAATATCCTCTGGAATTTCATAATCATAAATATTCTCTGTCTCGAGGAGGATTCCTCTTGGCAAAGCGCTTCTCTGGTCTGAAAAAAATAATTCAAATTTAATAAAATGTAGTTTCACTTTTAGAATAACAACATTCCATAGTTTAAAACCTGGATGTTATAACAATATATCAAAAACATGTACAGTATATATTTTTCAGAGACCAATTACAGGGCCAATATCAAACCTGTAGGAAATGCAGGTATACTGTACTTATTTTCCCCTAAGACTTTAGTGGTAAGATCACCGATATGAATTGAGGCACAAAATGCTATTGTGACAGGAAATATAAATTGTTGACAATGCAAACCACGGATAATCATTTATGAAGAAGGTATAGAACCCCCCCCAAAAAAAGTACAGTACTGTACAGTTACCAGCATACATTGTCTGCAGAAATATGAATGTGTTACAAGTCATATTACAAATAGAGTACAGTATTTAAAGTATCCATTTCCTTACATGGAATTGGCACAAAGAAGCAAAAGCAGAAATGATTTTTGAAACAATAATATGACACATACAAAAAATATCAGCAATCCCATGATAGCAATGTTTAGTTAATTGTTATAAACAATGTGGTATGATCGGACTTTGGTATCATCATAAAACCTAGGGCGAGAGGCAGACTTTGCAAGCTCAAGATTTTTTTTTTTTTTTTTTTTACGGGAATTAGCCAACCCGGGCACAGGTCAAACGACCCACAACGGAGCCTGGGGGGCGAAAAAAAAGAACGGAAAGAAATTGAAAATATAGAAAAAAGGTTATACTGTATTAATCTACACCACGAAGATGCCGGAAAACCAGCTTTTTAAAGTGAGACAGATTGTAAGAGCATGGAAACACAGAAGAAGGCAAAGCATTCCACAGTTTGGCTGTGTGAGGAAAGAAGGAGGTACTATAACGGGTTATTCTCGTGTGACCGATATCCACAGAGAAATGGTGGGCACCGCGGGCAAGACGTGTGTTACGAACCCACGGCCTTACCGGCGGTACACAGGATGCCAAATCCCCTGAACATTGCCCGTTAAAGTACCTGTAAAAGAGAGAGAGTGAAGCAACATTGCGGCGAAGAGAAAGGGGAGAGAGATTGTCGACTAAAGGAGGAGAGTTAATAAGACGAAATGCCTTTGATTCCACCCTATCTAATAGTTGGACAGAAGAAGAGCCACCCCAGATATGAGAGCAGTACTCCAAGTTAGGACGAATGAATCCCTTATATACTTGGAGCAACTGCTCAGGAGTGAAGTAGCTGCGGCATCTGTACAGCATTCCCAACTTTCGGGAGGCAGCTTTAGTTATACTAAGGATGTGTGATTTCCAGGACATATTGGAGGAAATGGTGAGGCCTAACATATTTATTTCAGAATTTGGGGGGATGATAGCGTCCTGAAATGTAATTGGTGGGAGATTGTCTACTTTACAAAGTGTAACTGGTAAATATTGAGTTTTGTTACTATTGAACTTAACCAAGTTTGTATCTCCCCATTCAGAGATGCTGCACAGATCTGCGTTGATAGAAGTAATGATATCAGTTCTAGAAACATATCTAGTTTGAGAGTTAGGAGGAAGGGGAAAATGTGAGGAAGAGTGAAGAGTAGAATCATCGGCGTAAGAATGGATAGAATTAGTTGTAGTGTGAAGTAAATCATTGATAAAAAGAAGAAAGAGAGTTGGTGAAAGAACAGAACCCTGTGGGACACCACTATTGGTAGAGAAAGAGCGAGAAATCGATCCCTCGACAACAACTGCCATGGATCGATTCTCAAGGAAGCTCGAGATGAGAGAACAAAGTGGGGGAGAGAAACCAAAAGAGGCAAGTTTAGATAGCAAAGACTTGTGCCATACCCTGTCAAATGCTTTGGAGATGTCGAGGGCCACGACAAAAGTTTCCCCATAATCCCTAAGAGAAGATGACCAAAGATGGGTGCAATAGGAGAGCAGATCACCAGTAGATCTCGCCTGGCGAAAGCCATACTGGTGATCCGACAAAAGAGAAAGGCGTTCAAGGTGATGGAGAAAATGGAGTTCAAGATAGTTTCGAAAATCTTAGAGAGGGATGAAGTTAGGGCAATGGGGCGATAGTTAGAGGGATTAGAATGGTCACCCTTCTTCGGGATGGGCTGAACCAAGGCATGCTTCCAAGAAGAAGGAAAAGTTTTCGTTTTGAGGCAAAGGCGAAAGAGGCGAGCAAGCACAGGGGCCAGGGCTTCAGCACACTCCCTCAGAACACGAGGGGGTATTCCGTCCGGTCCATGCGCCTTACTCACATCCAACCTGGATAACACACCGGCAACCCTGCGAGTGGAGATTATAGGAAAGTGCATAGGTTCAGTAGGAGGTGCAGGGGTAGGAGGGGTAGAGTGGGAATCGTCTAAGGTGGAATTAGAGGAGAATAAGGTGCCAAAGAGGTTGGCTTTCTCAGGGGGAGAGTTGGCTATAGAGTTATTGGGACGGAAGAGGGGAGGAAAAGAAGGCGTGCAGAAGTTGTTACAGATGTTTTTAGCTAAGGACCAGAAGGATTTACTAGAGGAAGAATTAGTCAGGACAGCAGTCTTTCTTTTAATAAAATTCCGCTTGGCCCTACGAAGAATAGCCTTACAACGATTCCTAGAAGTAATGAAAGAGGTGTGGGTAATAGGAGGAGATAGTTTCATAGCTCGATATGCCCTATCTCTCACCCTGCAAGCAAGAGAGCAGGAGCGATCAAACCATGATTGTAATGTGAAAGTTTTGGTAGAAGATGGGATAAATGCACTCATACCGCCCTGTATAACCCCAGCAATGCTGTCAGCACATACTGAGGCATACCGAGTGGAAAAGCAACATTCATCCCGAGGAAAGTCGGTGAAGAATTCTCGCAAGGATTGCCAGCTTGCCCTCCGATAGTGCCATAGTTGACGTTTAGAGGGGGGTGGGGGAGGTGGTCGTGCCCAGTTTGATTTAATAGAAATAAGGTTGTGATCAGAAGACCCTAAGGGGGCAAAAATTGAGTATGAATAGTGTGAGGGGGTTAGAGGTAAAACAAAGATCAAGAATGTTAGCAAGTTGATCGTGTCGATCAGGAACGCGTGTAGGGTGTTTGATTATTTGTTCCAAATCATTAAGTAAGGAAAAAGAGAGTGCCTCAGCTCCACCTGGGTCATCCCTTGCAGAGCCAAGCCATCAGTACATTGAAATCCCCTAGGTAGAGGATCTCAGTGTTGGGGTGTGTGGATAGCAACGACTCATGGCAAGAAGTGAGATAGTCAAAGAGTTCGAAATAGTTGGTAGAGTTGGGAGAACAGTATAGGAAACAAAGAAAAATAGTCACAGTAGGTAGAGATATTTTGAGCCAGATGACATCAGAAAGGGGAGATTCAAGATCCGTGAGTCGGGCTATAGGTGTACGTGTATTGCAGTAGGTGCATACACCTCCCTTAGAACAGAAGTAGGTATAAAGGTTGTAGTTAGAGACTTGAAAAGGTTTGGGTGAAGCTGCTTTGGTCAGTTGAAGTTCGGAGAGTAGTAAGAGATCGGGGGAAGAGGTTAATAGATGGTGCTCCACAGAAGAAAAATTGGATCTCAGTCCGCGAATGTTGGAGAAATGAAGCGTGAAAAAAGCCGATCCTCCAGCAACCGTAGTGGCGTCAGTTGAGGCCCCAGTAGCTTGATGATGATCAGGTCGGCCCTGGGGTCCACAACCTTCCCGACCAGTGGGACCCATCCGAGAAGGCCCCGCTTCAGTATTAATATCAACTGACATAGGAAAATAAAATAGAATGACAAAATTTTGGTACAAATGAGGCGGTCGTAAGTCCGGGTGGTTGTAAGTCGGGGAGTACCGGTAGCTGTATATTGAACACATTTCTTTGGGTCGATTCTCCTGTTCAACAGTTCTACAACTCCAATATCAGGTTAATGTACCTTCAGTAGTGTTTAAAATTCCTCTCTCTTATCAAGGAACGTGTCATGTGCGACCCAAGAACACAGGATTCTTACCCTTTCCCCCCATCAAATTAAGGCTTATATTACGGTGCACTTCACCATGTCTACATGACTGTTTTCATTATTACCTATTTTGACTGTTTTTGATATCTTCATTAAAGTTCAGCAAATTGTAAATCCATCTCATAAAATATTTTATTACTTTGTATTACTACTGTACAGGTAGTTTTTACCATTAACAATCAGGCATATTACGGAATGTTGTAAAATTTTCACAGACATATTCATGATTTATTACCCCAAACCTACAAAATAAGACAAATTACGAAATTCAATAAAAATTTGCTTGAGTAATAACTAAAATAGTTAAAAAATCCAATGTGGTTTTCACAAAACATTGTTTTTGTCAGCTTGCCCTTGGTACTTGCAATGCCTCATATACTGTACTGTGCTAATTTAACCAAATTATCTGTGTAAAGAAAACTTAATACATTGTACAGAGAAGGATAATACAAGGGGAATCATGTAATAAAAAAAAACATGCTTTTGACAATTGAACTAATTTAGAGGAACCAATCAAACTTTTGTAAAGTTTATATTCCTTTCATTATATTAACAAAGGAGAGAGCTAACTGACTGATATAAATCTAATGTATTACTAAATAAAATTATAAGGGTGAGGGTAATTTCCCCAAAACTGAATGACTTGCTAAGAACTACAGTTCAGTACAAACAACTGAGTTCTACACAGGTAGTCGAATGGATCATGGTAACAGATGTGTAACAAAAAGAGTGAACTTTAGCATTATCATGAACCAACATTATTTCTCGCAATACTGTAGTAATACATTCTACAATGATTTTTATAATGAATGCTTAGTCTTCCTCACCTTGGGAACCATCGATGCTTTGTAGTAAAAGTGAGTTCCCGGAGATCCTTGTTGATGAAAAATGGATGCTTCTTCTGGAACAAATGCTTCATTTCCTTGTTGTACTGAACTTTCAATATTGAGTCTGATTCTTGAGTTGTCTGGGGTAATGGCTGAAATGGTAGGAAAAAAGACATTCCTCTTGTGTAACTTTTCTTTCCATGTGTCTGTGTTCACACAATATACCGGTATGTATGTCTCTACATCCATGAAATCATCTGCTTTTATGACTAGACAGAAATTGCAGAATTGACTAAGAATATTTTGTATTATTATGCAGCTCTCAGAAATAATCATATCCATTTCTCTCATTAAAACATTGCATCAATTCCTTGTCATGGCATGTGCTGATTGAATCAACTTAGTTCAAGAACAGTTTCTAGCCTCCAGAAAGGCAACTGTTGTACAAAGTGTCTCTCATTTTAAAGAGACACTGTGATGGGTAAGTTTGGAAGACTAGTATAATTGGAGTAAATATCAAATCCACCCTAACTGTAACTGACATCACAGGGGGCTGTATGAACACTTAACCCCTTCTTCCCTTGAGTAAGCAAGAGGAGAAGTACTAGGGCTTAATCAAAAAAATTAATCTCAAACTCTAATATTGGTATTATGTATACTTTTTCTACCATTACCCTAGCTCATTCATAAACCCAAATAAAAACAACAATGTGAAGAGCTGACACAATTTACTGCCATTACCAGAATATTTTTCATCACCTCATTAAAATACAAGCAAGATCATCCACTGATTCATCACCTCAGATATCCAAGCTTCTTCTCTGTATACAGTACTCTGTACTACCAAAATTCTACTAACTTATTACACTGTTCACAAACACACCACATTCAACAAAACTTAATTTCAGATCTATTTTATGCTGCATATTTATAAATTATTTGAGACTGTTTTCAAGCCACTGAATACACAAAACAATCATATACTGTACTGTACCATAAATTTGTCTCTACAGTACATTTCAGTATATCATAGTTATACAAACAGACCTAAACTCACCTAGTTCAAGACAAATGCTATTCTGCAATACACATACAGTACCTTAGTCATTTCATATGGCACTTGAGGTTCAGGATGCCAACACACAATAGTGTTCCCATCATCAGTTACAACCACAGCCTCCTCTCTGCCACGATCTTTCCAAGCCTGCTGGAAGCTACTAAGCTGTAGACGTCTTTCTGCAATAAATTAATAAAGTCAGAAACACAGCAGTCTAGGATAAATTCCTCTTCACATGTTAACTAAATTAAAGTTTGATTGAAATTTAACTCAAGAAACCTTAAAGATCTTGTTTAATATCAGTGAACATAATGTCTTTCATAATTACCCCAATATTTTTACTCTACTTTAAAACCTAACTTACTGTACTTTTGTCCCATGACTTTAAAATCAGCATACAGTAGTGCAGTACTGTATATGAGTACAGTGCAGGACAAATTCTCTTGGAGCAAAATATGAGTGACCGATGCTGTAATATCAAATTTACCTTACCTAAAATACAGCAGTTATATTGTGCGAAAAGAACCACCTGGAGAAGCACAAGTTGATCAATGATTCCCAACATGGCTTCACAAGTGGGCATTCATGTCTAACTAATCTATTAACATTCTTTTCAGCTGTTTTCGAATCATTGGACGACGGGCATGACTATGATGAGGTATATCTTGACTTTTGCAAAGCCTTAGACAGAGTCCCCCACGAAAGACTAATACGAAAAGTGGACGCTCATGGCATTGGAGGAGATATTCTAAAATGGATTAGGGTGTGGTTACAGGACAGGAAATAGCGAGTGAGCATTAATGGCAGTAAATCCGATTGGAGTAACGTCAATAGTGGAGTACCCCAAGGCTCAGCACTTGGACCATTATTATTTATTATATATACTGTATATGTAAACGACATAGATATCAGCGTAGACAGCAACATAAGTAAATTCACTGATGACACTAAAATAGGGCGAGTAATTAATTAAATCTGACATGGATTCTGCAAAATTACAGGAAGACAATAAAATTTTTCGAATGGTCTGAAAAATGGCAGATGCAATTCAATGTGGACAAATGTAAAGTACTTAGTCTAGGAGATGTAAACCGAGAAACCAGATGAACAATGATGTTATAGATTAATACGACTGTGAGAAATATCTAGTAGTCATGATAATCTTAAACCAAGTAAACAATGTGTATTTGCTCGAAACAAGGCTCACAAAGTACTTGGGTTTATACAAAGAGTGTTAGTTACAAGACTAGCGAGGTCATCCTAAAACTATATCTTGCGCTTGTGAGACCTCACTTGGATTACGCAGTTCAATTCTGGTCACCGCACTACAGAATGGATATAGAATCCCAAGAAAGAATTCAGAGGAGAATGAAAAGACTAATCCCGGGCATTAGGAACCTTGCGAGTACAGAGACAGGTTAAAGCATCTTAATTTGCACTCCCTCGAGAGACGTAGAGTGAGGGGCGATATGATCGAGGTGTATAAATGGAAGTCAGGGCTAAACAAAGGTGACATTACAAAGGTACTTAAAATATCCAATCAGGAGCGAACTTGTAACAATAGTTTTAAATTAGACAAATTTAGATTTAGGCACGATATAGGTAAACATTGGTTTGGAAACAGAGTAGTGGATGAGTGGAACAAGTACCAAACATCATCATTAACTCAAATACGCTGGATAGCTTCAAACATCGGTTGGATAGATATATGAGCGATAGGGGTTGGGTGTAAATGGGACTGCCCAGTATGGGCCAATAGGCCTGCTGCAGTTTCCCCCATTCTTATGTTCACAATGGAGATGGCAGGTGGGTTTTGGAATCCTTTCCGCAGATAAAACATATGCTGCCATATGGCAGCAGGGTCTACCAACAGACAACACATTATGCTTCCAATATCTTCCCAGGCAGTAGTGCCTCCCTGTTTGGTAGCTGCCTACTACTACAAGTGATATCACAGGTAAGAAAGCATTCAGGTCCAATGGTGAAATGTCCTACAGTAGGTAGTTAAGACACACAACTTGTCTAAACTATTACCTATTTTTGGAGTAAGACTTGTGAATTTTTGGGATAACCTGCCAAAGAACGTTTTGACGGCACCGAGTGTGAGCTCATTCGAGACCAGACTTGACCAACACTGGAGCAAGTACAGATACTACTGTAAATTATGGAGCTAGTACATGCCAACAAGTGTGGAACAGAGATGTTACTAACACACCAATCAGTAAAGTATAGTTACGGTCATCCCTGTAATTAGATATCCAACCAAACCTAGTCACAGAACCCAGGAACTATATCTAACCCAACAAGGGGCTTCCCCCAGACCCCCCCCCCCCTTTCTGGTGGGGATTAAATTCCGAAGATTTCCCCGGATGACCAAAACTAAATTAATACCTAAAGTAAAATAAAGACTTTTCCAAGTTCCAAAATATCACAATTTTTTTTCACAGTGGCTACTCTTATGCTAGTCCTATTGTGCATGTTTGTAATGAATATTGCAGGATAAAACACCGTTAAAAACTGTCAAATGCCACTAAAATGATGTCTTTATATTACTTGTATGTGAAGAAATTAATTACAGTATTTACCCTAAATATTCCTCTCAAAAACCTACCATGTCGGCGTGTGTTGTCATCTGCTCTTTGTTTGTTTCAGTGCAACAACCAAGCCACTCAGTTTGAGCTTCAACAAAGCTGTTTTCATTGGTACAGTTGCGGAAATGTATTCCTACACCCCGTGGTAACCCGTGTCTCCAAATGGGCAACCCATATGACCTAGTTCTACAGTATAGCAAACCTATCCACCAATCACGTCAGTCGTTACGCAACAAATACCCATTAATTTATAAGTAGTGACACTACTACTGCAAAGTTGCTGTTTAGAGACAGGTTACCATAACGGTGTAGGAACACATTTCCCCAACTGTACCAGATATCAAAATAAGTACTTTCTGCTGTATATGGCGAGGGGTCTGACTAGTTAGGTAGGTTTCTTTGGCTGGCGTATGAATTTTTTTGTAGCCTGTTATGTGCTTAACCATTTAGCATGGAGGTCAGTGAAACGGCACAATGATTCTGACGAGTTAATCGATATACTCGTAAGTAGTCATTCAGTAAAACCTACATATACTGATTCCACATATACATTACGTTATGGGATATTTTGCCGTGACTGGCTAAGTTCCTACTAACACTATTTTACCGTGAGTGTGCTCTGATTGGCTAAGTACTTTCTGTTTAATATGATGGAGGGGGGGGGGTCCACCTCCTGGCCAGGAAGTTAGAGGGTTAGGTAGGTTTCTTTGGTTGGTTAGGTCAGGTTCTAGTAAATGTCGCCTCTTTTATAATGATAAGTTTACATGGACAACAGAAACATGGTTAGGTATGTCTACAACTACACGACGATCAGGGCGAAATAAATGATGTCATGGTCACGGTAATGGACAATTAACCAATCAGAGCACACTCATGGTAAAGTAGTATTTAGTTAGTAATTACCCAGGTTATGGCAAGATATCCACTGGCCATACTGTATACATTATCATTCACCATACATAAACATTGCCTGTATTTTAGCTAAAGATAGACGTTTAAGACATTTCCATTGATGTCCTGTTCTAAACCCAAAGGCTCACCTATAGTCGAGGTAGTAAGTGTCCTGGCAGCCCTACACAGCGCCATCACTCAAGAGTTAAACCTGTAATGGAGACACAGACCATCAGTCGCCTCTATCACAACACTCAACTATAATAACCATGTGATTCACTAAAATTTGCGATATTTTGTGTTATCATTAAAAATTTCCTTGACACGATGTATAAAACTTGTAATGATATAATGTTTCCTTGGTTATAATATGTTTTATGGCTATTACTTATTTACCGGATGAATGTGTTAAATTAGTGCGTATTGAATAGTTGAAAGTTACTAAATAAATATTAATAAAAAAATATATAATACAACATAATAATCCTTTTTGTTTGATATAAAAGTAATATATAAGAAATATTGGCCAAGGCATAACGACATTGCTAGACGACAGGCCACCACCAAGGATTGTTTACATGCATTTTATTATCTATTTCTAGCTGCTTCAGGTATTGTATAGTGAATATTGTCTCAGTATATGGAGTTGGGTTTATTTCTGGGAGGATGAAGGTATGAGTGTTGGGGTGTGGGTGGGTGTGGGTGTGAGGGCGGGGGTGAGGTAGAGGCTGGGGGTCTGGATCAGCTGTTGGTCTCCTCGCTGCCACTCACTACACCAGGTAATGTGTCTCCTGGCCTCTAATACCCGGACACAAGGCTCTCATCAACCAAGGACAGGTAGAGGATGTGTTGTAGGGTGTAATCCTCCCTTGGCTTGTTTGATGGTTGATGAAATTGTTTTGGAATAATAATGATAACATATCTAGGTTCTTCAGTACAACTTAAAGTAATTGTAGGGATTATTACCTTTACAGAACTTTGAATAAACAAAGTCTCTTACTAAAATATTACAAATTTATTGTAAACGTAATATAAATGAATAAAAGAATGGGCCATTACTGTATTTTTTATGAAACAAATACAAACTGAGTATTTGCTCACTTTAGTGAAAATAGCACGTGAGGTATTTCCACACTTTACATTAAATCCCTTTCTTACCCTACCCAAGGACAATAAACAGTAAGGACACACTGCTGTAATGTGAAATAAACTTCAGCTCCATCACACTACCCATAGTGACCAGAGGGTGACCAAGGACTATGGCCTTGCCTTGGTTGACATTTGCTTCATTTTTTAGAACATAACATAAGAAAATGAGTCTGCAATAGGCCAGTTGGCCTGTGCATGGCAGCTCCTGTCAAGAGTTACTACCACTCTCTATCATCCATGAATCTACGTAGCCTCCTTTTAAAACTTTCCAGAGTTCCCGCACTTACTACAAAGTTGCTATGCTTGTTCCACTCGTCTACCACCCTATTTGTGAACCAGTTTCTTCCTATCTCCCTCCACAACCTAAACTATCTAACTTAAATCCTTTGCTACGAGTCCTGTCCTGCTCAGATATTATAAGAACTTTATCTATATCCCCTTTATTGATTCCTTTCACCCACTTAAATACTTTTATCATATCTCCCCGCACTCTTCGTCTTTCTAGGGAATGCAAGTTTAGTTTCTTTAACCTATCTTGATATGGAAGGTTTCTAAGTCCCGGAATCATTTTCGTCATTCTTCTCTGCACCGACTCCAGTGAATTGATATCCATTCTATAATAAGGGCACCAGAACTGAACGGCATAATCGAGGTGCAACCTGACTAGCGCAAGATATAGTTGCAATAAGACCTCTTCACTCTTATTACTTACACTTCTAGATATAAAACCCACTACTCTGTTTGCCTTATTTCGAACATTAACGCACTGTTTTCTAGGCCGTAGGTCCGGGCTTACAAGTACCCCTAAGTCTCTTTCACAAGTCGACTTCTCTAGGCTGATGTTGTTAAGGCTGTATACATTGACAGTATTTGTTCTTCCAATATTAAGTATGCTGCACTTGCTGGAGTTGAATTTCATTTGCCATTTTTCTGACCACTCCTGCAGTTTATTTAAATCCTCCTGTAGTACATTTGCATCCTGCCCTGAATTAATCTGTCGCTCTATTTTGGTGTCATCCGCAAACTTGCTTATGTCACTGCTGATCCCAGTATCTAGATCGTTTATGTAGATTATGAACAAGAGTGGGCCCAGTACTGACCCCTGGGGAACCCCACTGGTTACACAGCCCCACTCAGATTTAACACCATCTATGCTGACCCTCTGTATTCTATCTGTGAGCCACGATTTTATCCAATTTAAAACTTTCCCCTCGATACCATGGGCCTTAACTTTAGACAACTCATAAGGCTAAGGCATTTCTGTGAGCAGTCCTCCAAAAATGATATAGCAAAAAAAGAAGAAAAAAAATAGCAAAATATTATAAGGAAACACCAGGAGGGGCACTGGACATTTTGCTGATGGCATGGATGAAGCAACTCAATTTTTGAGCTTATTAGCAATTCAGATATTTTCCTTTTGCCAGACATGGCAAGGTAAATGTCTGAGGGTACTCCAGAAAACTGGATATTGCCTTACAATGTATACTTAAGAAATATAGCAAGTTTCTCGGCGTTAAGCATCACGATCGTCGCCGGTGAATTAAGTGATGTCACTCTTCGTTTTTCTTATATTTTGGGCAATATTATTATTGTTTTTGTTGTCAGACATGACAAGAACAATGTCTCATGGTCTTCTGGATGACCTGATATTGGTTGACATTGCAGAATTAAGAAACCACAAGAAATCTTCCTTTGCGTCTTGAAACAAGCACGGTGTTGACACCTGAAACCCACGTACAGTAGGCTTTCGCCAATAACGACTTCCACAATAACGTTTTCGACAATAACGGTAAGTTACAATAGATACCCATTTTCGATAATAACGTCTGGATTCTCTTGAATAACGGAGATTTTGCGGGAAGCATCCGCGTGCATCAATGATAGCGTTTGTTTGCCGCCATGTTGATGACGTAGTTGTCCGCTCCATCTCACTCTCACACACGCTCAGTGGAATACAGCGCTGCGCCCACATGTGAGATTTTCTCCTCTATAACCAGTGGTTGCTAGGGTCGGTGATCAATAATGGCTTCCGCATTTTTGCCTGTGGGGGTTAGGGGAGGTGGTGGAGGGAATGATTTGCTGCCTGAACGCCCGGGAACTTTTAAAGTGAATGAGAAAAAAGATCCCAAATCTAAGAGACAAACCCACAAGAAGCGTGCCTACTTGGTCAAGGAAAAAGAACAGATTGTTGAGCTCACTGTAAGTGGTGCATGGAACATTGATATTGTGAGGAAATTGAACCGTCCTGAGTCTACAGTGCGAAATATTAAGAGGAACTTTGAGGAGACCAAGAAGAGTATTGCGCTGGCTAAGAAATATTTCGGTAGTGATGGAAATGCGAGGCGAGCTATGAATGATGAAAGTGATAGAAACAGGTTGATAGTGATAACAGCATTTTCTTGTGAAATGGTTAGCTTGTAGAATGAAAGACAGTGCAAGTCTTAGCGGCCCTCAGATATGGAACAATCACCTCAAAAACTCCCCCAAGCTAAGTGTTATATTACTCAAACTCTATATTTTGATGAGTAAATAACGCTTCTTTTTTATTTCAGCGATCAAAAAGTGTTAGGAGGGCTTCTAAGGGGAAAAATTCGGTGAAATTCTTGGGGTGGCGGCACCAACAAACCCTTTTTACATGTATTTTAATGTCACACAAATAACGTTTTCGCTAATAACGGCGTTTTTCAGGCACCTATTAGACGTTATTGGCGAGAGCCTACTGTACCTGTGTTCTTAACTTAATTTTTAAGATTATTAAATATGTTCAGAGTTCTTTTTTGGCCACATATAGCAAGATGAGTGTCTAGCCTTCCTGTAAACACCTGATATCGACAAACATTCCAGAATTAAGGAGATACAAAAGAAATATGAACTCTTTTCAAACAAGTTCTCGGCTAGTCTAATGTGTTTATTTTATCAGAACTCTTGCAGGCATTTATCCATTTATCACAAGTTTTCTTATCTCTGGGATATCTGTAATACTTGAGATTTGAGCATTGTTGGTGCACCTGTATATTGCACAAATAACCTTAATTGTTGATACACTGGTCCTGGGTGCAGACGCTGGCACACACGTATGTTACCAGATGATACGTGTTTACAAGAGAGACGTCACCGAGCTGTGCATTGTGGGTACAACAAGTGCTTGGTGAACTATCCTTACAAGTATTTTATCCTTGTCCTGACCCACGTCCTAATGACCATCTAAAACCATAATACTGTGAAATAACACCTGTTGTCTTGCTCTAAAACCATGGTACAAGTAGCATTTTACTTCTTCACATTACTTCTAGTCTTGTCTCCTGTTTAATTTCCATGAATTATCATTTTGCAGCTTATTTTTGCATTACTTTGTCATTTATTGTATCATTATTTTTGGTTCGGTTGTATTATTTGCACTGAAGTGTGCATATACAGTACAGCATGCCCTTCAAATTCGCAGGGGTTAGGTTCTCAAAATGGCCGCGAATCGCCAAATCTGTGAACACCAATAACATTTGCTTACCGGGGGGGAGGGGGGGGGGACATTTTTACTTGTGTACAAAGAAATGTATATTCCCTTAATGCGTTTGCCTTTATGACAATTACAGTGGTCCCTTGATTAACAAATACAATTGGTTCCACAGAGTCGTTCGTTAACCAAAAATTTTGTTAATTGAATCTATTACCCTGTATTTCAATGGGATATTGGGTAATTGGTTCCAACCCACAGAAAAAGTACATACAAAGTGCTCTATGCCAGTAATAGAATTAACAAAACATTAAATATAAACTAAATACACTACTGTACTGTATACTGTATAATAGTAAATAAAAAATATAGAATACCTGTACAGTATTACCCCATGTAGCTTTACAAAGCTACACGGTTTCGGTTTCACTTTCAGCGATTTCTCATTTACACTACACGGTACCTTGGAAGGAACCGGACTTTCATTTTCCGCGGTGTATCTACTCATATACGCAGTGAAGTATAATTTTTTATTTTTTTATTTAGCTCATAAAATTCATACAAATTACCCTGCCAGAATATAATTTACATTGCTGGAATTCTTACAATATGATGATCATTTTGAATATAAACATCATGGATTTTGCATTAGACATACAAATTTTAGACCTAATGTAATAATTTGGTTTACACAAAGCAAATATTTTATAGTTTGTGCAAAATATATGAAGTTTACATTCAAAATATTCCCTGACCTGCAAGGAATCTAGAAATGTCAATTATATTATCCTAACTTTAGTCTGGGTTATTATTTATTACTAAAAATGTAAATACACTTTTTTCTCCCAATCGCTTCTCTGGTAGGGAGGGGGGGTGGGGTATTTTGATTGACAGATAGTGTCCTTGAAGAATATTTCTTTGTTTATTTACTGAAGATATTTGTTTTAGCTCATAAAATTCATACAAATTACCCGGCCAGAATATAATTTACATTGCTGGAATTCTTACAAT